CCGGAGTGACCGTTTGGCTTCTTTGTTTTTTGATAGGCTTCTCTGAGCTCCTTTACTTTCACGCAGCACCCATCCGAGTCCCTATTGTGGCCTCTCTCCATCATGCCCTTGGAGATTTTTTCAAAAGTTTTGGCATTTCGTCTTTTCGAACGAAGTTCTGCTAGCACTGAATCCTCTCCGCATATAGCCATCAGATCCAGTACCTCCCATACGGTCCATGCTGGTGCTCTTTTTCGATTATCAGGCTCCATGGTTATCTGTGCTGATGAGCTCCCTGTGGTCACCTATGCTCTCCACGCTGGGCAAACAGGAAATAAAATTCAAATGTTCGCGGGGCTTTTCCTGTCTACCTGGCTAGTGCATCCGAAATCAGATTGCTCTGCAGAGCGGTCACAATGGTGCACTGTGGGATAGCTCCCGGAGGTGAATACCATCGTATTGCGGCCACACTAACCCTAATTCAAAATGGCAATATCGATTTCGGCGCTACTCTGCTCGTCGGGAAGGAGTACAGAAATCGATTTTAAGAGCCCTTTATTTCGGAAAAAATGGCTTCGTTGTGTGGATGGGTGCAGGGTGAATTCAATTTAACGCTTCTAAATTCGAATTAAACTCATAGTGTAGACCAGGCCAAAGTCAGCTCCCACACTGCTGTCCTGGGCAACACAGTATGGGGAGGAGGTGAGCAGCCCTCAGCAGTGAAAGAACAGGTTAAGGACTATTTAGAAAAACTGGACATGCATAAGTCCATGGGTCCAGATCTAATGCATCTGAGGATGCTGAAGGAATTGACTGATGTGATTGCAGAGCCATTGGCCATTATCTTTGAAAACTCATGGCGATCGGAGGAGGTGCAGGATGACTGGAAAAAGGCAAATATAATGCCCATCTTTAAAAAAGGGAAGGAGAACCCAGGGAACTACAGACCGGTCAGCCTCACCTCAGTCCCTGGAAAAATCATGGAGCAGGTCCTCAAGGAAACCATTTTGAAGCCCTTGAAGGAGAGGAAGGTGATCAGGAACAGTCAACATGGATTCACCAAGGGCAAGTCATGCCTGACCAACCTCATTGCCTACTATGATGAGATAAATGGCTCTGGGGATATAGGGAAAGCAGTGGATGTGATATATCTTGAGTTTAGCAAAGCTTCTGATATGGTCTCCCACAGCATTTTTGTCAGCAGGTTAAAGTACAGATTGGATGAATGGACTATAAGGTCGATAGAAAGCTGGCTAGATTGTCAGGCTTAACACGTAGCAATTAACAGCTCAATGTCTAGTTGGCAGCCAGTATTAAGCGGAGTGCCCCAGGAGTCAGTCCTGGGGCCAGTTTTGTTCAACATATTTATTAATGAATTGGATGATGGGATAGATTGCACCCTCAGCAAGTTCGCAGATGACACTAAGCTGGAGTGAGAGGCAGATATGCAGAAGGGTAGGCATAGGGTCCAGAGTGACCTAGACAAATTAGTGGATTGGTCCAAAAGAAATCTGATGAGGTTCAACAAGGACAAGTGCAGAGTCCTGCACTTAGGACGGAAGAATCCCATGCACTGCTACAGGATGAGGACCGACTGGCTAAGCAGCAGTTCTTCAGAAAAGGACCTGGGGATTATAGTGGATGAGAAGCTGGATATGAGTCAGCAGTGTGCCCTTGTTCCCAAGAAGGCTAAGAGCATATTGGGCTGCATTAGTAGGAGCATTGCTAGCAGATCAAGGGAAATTATTATTCCCCTTTATTCGGCACTAGTGAAGCCACATCTGCAGTATTGCATCCAGTTTTAGGCCCCCCATTAGAGAAAGGAGGGTCACAAAAATGATTAGGGGGCTGGCACATGACTGAGGAGGAGAGGCTGAAGGAACAGGGCTTGTTTAGTCTGCAGAAGAGAAGAGTGAGGGGGGATTTGATAGCAGCCCTCAACTGCCTGAAGGGGGGGGGGGTTCAGAGAGGTTGGAGCTCAGCTGTTCTCAGTGGTGGCAGATGACAGAACAATGGACAATAGTCTCAAGTTGCAGGGCGGGAGGTCTAGGTTGGATATTAGGAAAAACTTTTTCACTAGGAGGGTGGCGACGCACTGGAATGGGTTCCCTAGGAAGGTGGTGGAATCTCCATCCTCAGAGGTTTTTAAGGCCCAGCTTGACAAAGCCCTGGTTGGGATGATTTAGTTGGTGTTGGTCCTGCTTTGAGCAGGGGTTTGGACTAGATGACCTCCTGAGGTCTCTTCCAACCCTAATCTTCTATGATTCTCTCTGTGCTTCATGAAATTTTGGATCCAAATGGTAAAGACAGTTGTTCCCAATTTAATCATGGCATCCTTTAGGAGTGTGATCAATGCCACTTAACTAGGGAGCAGTGTTCTAAAAATACTTTACCTGGGCCACAGGTCACCATAGCTTCCATCTTTGGGATGAAAATCAACCACCAGTACCTGCAATTTCTACCTGAGTTCTTGTCAAATCTTTGACCTTCCTTGGAGTAATTTTACACTTCTCTGGTGTAGAATACTTCACCAAACACACAACATATCAGTAGTGATAGTGAGGTATATAATAATAAAAATAAATAATAATAATAATATATGAGATATCCGATCTCCTAGAACTGGAAGGGACCCTGAAAGGTCATCGAGTCCAGCCCCCTGCCTTCACTAGCAGGACCAAGTACTGATTTTTGCCCCAGATTCCCTAAGTGGCCCCCTCAAGGATTGAACTCACAACCCTGGGTTTAGCAGGCCAATGCTCAAACCACTGAGCTATCCCTCCCCCGCAAAAAACCTGTCTGTAAGCAAGGACTGGCCTGCCTCCCAAGATCGGTGAGAGGCCCTGGCTACACTTGAGGATTCACAGCTCCGAGGGGAGTAGCTTGCAGCGCTGAAGGCGCTGATTACACTGGCGCTTTACAGCGCCGCACTCGCCAAGAGCAGGGGGGTGTGTTTTTACAACCCTGAGCGCAGCAAGTTGCAGCGCTGTACAGCGCCAGTGTAGCCAAGGACAGAGTGAGGGATCATTTTCCAGGATAGGTTGTAGATCGTTAATAATGCGCGAAAGAGGTTTTACCTGAGGGCTGTATGTGATGGCCAGTGGTGTTCTGTTATTGTCCTTGTTGGGCCTGTCCTGTAGTAGGTGATTTCTGGGTACCCGTCTTGCTCTGTCAATCTGTTTCCTCACTTCCCCAGGTGGGTATTGTAGTTTTACAAATGCTTGATAAAGATCTTGTAG